TATTTGACTGAGATCATCCACTGAAACATTTCGCAACTTTGATCGGGAGGGTGAGAACTTTAATTCTCCAGCAGATCACTCATAAACAACCTCTCTTAGCCTGTACGTTGCATCAGTGAACGTTCAAATTTTAATTCAAAATTGTCTCATAATCAGGGAATATGATTATTCGTCAAGGGAGCAATGACCTGTATAAATATCAACCTAATCAGGGCGAATATGAGAGAGGCCACCTCGTTCCTGTGGATATCTTAAGTTACAGCGACGACAGTGTTCTTGCCACCTTCACCTACACCAACTGCGTACCGCAAATTGCAAATTTCAACAAAGGACAGTGGAAAAAGTACGAAAAGAAAATAGTCAACTATGCTTCGTCCGTCTGTTCTCCAAATAGCGGAACCCTTTACCTTATCACTGGTACATCTCAGGTTCAATTTGGTGCAAAACTTAATCCTCAAGGTGAAATAATTGGGGTGGATACGAAAGTCAAACCAATGGGGTTGTTCCATGACAACGTGGATATAAACCCGAAACTCGGGTCGAAGATCGCAATTCCAAACTCAATGTGGACAGTGGGCTGTTGTTGGAATGCTAAGAATGGAGTCGTAGGAGCGTTTGGTGTGATGGGCACAAATTCTTTAAACAAACCCTTAAATAAGTTTATGATGCCCAAACAAAGCGTCGCAGATGTTGAAAGCGTCCTTAAATTAGAGGATCCAACAATTAAGTTGTTTCACGACGGCAATTGCTATGCGTCAGGAAAAAACGTTGCGTTGGTCGATGTTCTCGGTTGATAAAAGCATGGTACAATTATTGACGTCAAGAATATTTAGGCACCATGCATGAAATATCCAGATTCAAATCAAATTAGAATTTTTAGAGCTTGATTCCCACTCGTTAGATTAAAACGTATAAATATGCATGTTACTTTATCTACAGAACAATCTTTATTATAATGAAGAAATTAAAACAGAGGAGTGAACTAAGTATTAAATAAAAATATATGGTTGTTCTAAAACATTTAATGGAATGTTTGGTATCTACCCTTCCTGTTTTTCTGTTTGTTTTTGTTTTTGTTTTGATTGCGTGTGTGTGTGTGTGTGTGTGTGTGTGTGTGTGTGTGAACCGAGTTCCCCTAGTAATTGGATTGCTCACCCCAGTTAAGAGGCTTCGTTTACATTTGCAGAGAACCATTCTCTATAATTATCTACATTGATTGGATTCTTTTCCCATTTTAGGCCTCTCTAAGAATAAAAGGGACAATAAACACAACAGCGTCCATTTGGTGTAAATATATGCACCGATATTTTAACTTGGACACTGTTCATAGAAGCTCACAGTTTTTTCCTCAGGTAAGATATCGTCCATAGACAAACATCCGCGCTTATAACCCACCCACTAATTTTCGCTCGATTATATGGCAACTTTGCTTCACGCAGTGCAAAATCACCAGACAGTTATCACGCGTTACAACCCATCAATTTCAATTTTACTCGATTCCTATTGGCTAC